GAACGTAATCATTGATAAATGTTGAGAAGGTGTAAAAATAAATAATAGTTTAAGCTGAAACAAGTTAAAGAACAGTTTGTTTTTAATATTTTATAAAATTAAAAAAAAAAAAAATTACTTTATAAAGAAAAATAAATAATTTCCCATTAAATAAGCGATTTTTTGTTTTATTTTAGTAATCAATATTTATATATTTTAATAAATAAAAACAATAAATATTTTCAAGAAGAATTATTCTTATTTAGAATAAAAAGGTTGTTTTTGAATTTAGATTATATAATTTAAATTTCCTTCACCGCCAGTTACCTAAAAAAATTTACCTTACCGACAACTAATTTCTTACTTATAACTTAGAAGACTTGGAAGACAGATCAATTGTCGTTCTTTTGTAATGTTTCATGGGTTACAGTTTAATTTTTTTCATAAATATGATATTTAAATGTTTTAATGTGTGTATTTTATTATATAGAATTTACTATTATTTGACATACATTAAGTGTTATGTATGAAGTATTAAATGTATATAACTTGTTAGAGAGCAAGTTACTTTTTGAATTTCTTTACAATTATTACATTGGCTACATTTCCGTTCGGATCACTCGACTCAGATGACCCCAAAGTGGATTTAAATTTAAATAATTCAAAACAAATACATAGTACGTTTTATGAATTAAAACACTTGCAACCCTCCGAGGAACAAAGAAAATTTTCTTTGAAAATTTTTACATAATTTGCCCCGGATATTTCCGAATTTTATAGATTATATAAATTATTTCATCGGGTTTTCCGACTTTCCCGTTCGCATCGATTTTTTATTATTATTGTTATTATATGTACTATCAAGTTTCTTAATTTTATCTATGTATTTTATCTATAGAGTTGCGATTAGCCTGATTAGCCTCACGGATACACAACACGGGAAATCGGATGTACTGATACACTCACATATACCCTATACCTATTTGTTTTCAGGAATATTTTATTTTTCAAATAATTTTTAAACGAAAATTATAATAAAATTTTCACAATAATTTTGGATCAATTTTTTGTAAACATAATTACAAAATTTGGTTATTGTAAATTCTAATAATATACTATTAAAATATCGTTAATTTTTATTTATTTATTTTTTTTTTTATGCATTCTAAGTCTAAATAAAATAACATAGATAGTTTATAATTTATGTATAATTACATATGCAAGAAGCTCTATTTATGTACGTCACTAATTTTTATTTAAAATGTAAATGTAAATATTTAAAAAATTGTAAAATCGATACTTCATTCACTAGTGGTGACATCTATGACACAAACAGATGACACTGCTTTCACTCTGACTGGGATATGTACTGGCACAATTAACTTTTTGTCAAAAAGTTTTTTTTATCAAGGGGCTGCAAAAGTTCATAATAGTTGTTTTACTTACTTCCTACATTCTTGAGGAACACTGCATTGAAAGCATTAAAACATTAAAACATCAGTCAAGTGTAGTCAATATCGGCTACTGAAATTAACCAACAAATTGTAATATTCATTAATTTTACAATTGAATCGATTTCGAAAAGAATTTAATTTCACTAAATTATCTAATTAAGTAAAAAATGATTTTCAATCGATTATTTCGTCCAGTTGGCCGCTTGACACAAAAGAGTAAGCAATTTTTCATTATGACTGATAAAGTTACGTAACAGTTTATTATTGATTGAGGCTAAAATTTTTTTATTATTTTAAAATAGGTGTTCGTACTTATCACAAGGATGTTGTACCATTCAAACTTGGCAATATGGATGAATTACCAGTACCGTCAGGATCATGGCAAGAACTTCATGAGAAAAGACAAAAAAGATATAATTTAACTCTTGTTGCTGGAGTTGTCATGTTGATCAGTACTTTCACAATTGTAAGTACTGACGCCTGTATATTGATAGCATCTTATTATTTAATTATTTTTAATACTTTTTCTTCTACTAGGCTAAACAAAGTGGAGCACTTTACTTGAATTGGAGCCCTCCCGAAGGAGTGGATTACCCAAAAAACGATTACAGCGGAAAGTAATTATGTATATCATAAGCTCTTCTAGTGTTTTACTGTATAAAAATAAATCTATTCAAATATCATGTATATTACAGTCTTGGTAACACTACTGTTATTAACGGTAAATAAATTGGATTAAATAAAATCGAATTTTATAATTCAATTCGATGTTGATCGTATACACGTGTTGGAGATATTAATCAAGATTATATTGTCCAAAAAAAAAAAAAAAAAAAAAAGTACCGGTCGACTTAACCATAGTCTAGTTTCAAACTTTTCTGTTTTTTTTTCAATTGTCAATTAGAAATCATTTTCAGTTTTTCAAATTTGACAGCAGATAAAATTAAGAACTCCAGATATATTTTCAAGGTTTGAAATTTCTATGATTGCAATTGATACAGAAAAATTATTACAATTTGATTAGCATTGTAGCGGATTAAAAGAAAATTACATCAGTTGATTGACATGTAATTTTTCGGATCTGTGTATCGATAAAAACACGTTTCTAAAACAAATTTATAGAATTATACGAAAAATAGAAAGAAAAAATTAGTAATTATATTGAGGTGGAGTCCAACTTATTTTAAGACGTAAACACTAAAAAAATGAAGATATTCACAAGCTTTTTTTTTTTTTCAACATGTTTTATTTTTTGGCAGATCATTAGTAGTAAATGTCTTTATTCCCAAAAAATCAAATTCCATTATGATTTCTGGATAATTTTAAGTTCTGCAAATTAATCCATCATCTTAATAAAATCAATCCGACAATAAAATTTGAATTTTCAAAAAAAAATTTTTTTTTTAATTTCTTCAAAAACGATCTACTCAATCAGATCAACTGATTTTAATCCATTTAGTGACATTTGAGGTTGTTTTTATTAAAAAAAAAGATGATTCAATTTTAAAATCGGTCAATCGTTGAAGTTATTAAAAAAAAAAAAAATAACATTTTTAAAAATTTTTTTTTAAGCTTATCATTTTATTTAAACTGTTGAGATATCTTCCATCCCGTTTTTGCAAGTAGTAGACTTGATTGCTAGTTTCATTCGACTTTCAAGCCATCTTACATTTCTTATAATATTTTCTAATACATACTGCTTTTAAAAATATAATTAATTAAATCAGATATACTATCAATCTGATTTCTGTCGTAATGTCTGACTATCAGCTTACATGCGATTGTATTTTATGATATTTATTAACAATAAATAGAAATTTAGTACTAACAAGGTAAGCTTCATCAGAGTTTAACATAACATTTTTCAACTTATTTGTTTTGAACATCTAAAGTGCTAATTTGTAGACTTATTCTCATATTTCATCAGTAGCTCACAGAAATTAGTCAGTTTTACCCAGTTTGGCTGTGCCAACTGGAAATTGATCGAAAAATTATAATTTCTTGAAATTTCGATACCAAGTAGGTTAATATGGAATTCTAACAAGTATCTAATGGCGGTCTCAATTTGTTTATAAATAACAGATAAACAAAAAAAACGTAAATTAAAAATTAAATATCTCTGAAACTATTGATCTGGCGAGTTAAGTTTAGGCATAAAATTTGTAGAGCTTAAAAAAATCTACAACTTTACTTTCGGGTAAATCCCTGTCAGACTGATAGTTTATTAGTTATTAACAATCGAAGTTTTATGAACAAATTGAGCTAGCAAGCTGAAAAATCAACCGATTTCATTTTTGCTTTTTTACACATATTTCTGGTAATAAAAAGAACATTTTTTACATTTTTCAAAATTTTGATTTTTAAAAATCAAAAAACCGCTTTTTTTTTTGGAAGCCACGGTACAACTGCTTGTTACTGTGCTTGGGGAACCGATATCAGTTGAGCACTACTGTTGAGTTGTTTCTCTACCATCAGTCCGGGTAGCGAACGCGCTCGCTTTATCGAAAATCCGCTCGCGTTCAACTCGCTATTATTTGACCCCAATCAAAAATTAATTTTTTTCAAAATAGCCAAGTTTTTCGCAATTAAATTCTAGATTTTTGAGAATAGAGTGCTGTAGTAAATTTAGTTTCGGAGATATTAAGAACATTGTTACTGTGCTTGGGGAACCGATATCAGTTGAGCACTACTGTTGAGTTGTTTCTCTACCATCAGTCCGGGTAGCGAACGCGCTCGCTTTATCGAAAATCCGCTCGCGTTCAACTCGCTATTATTTGACCCCAATCAAAAATTAATTTTTTTCAAAATAGCCAAGTTTTTCGCAATTAAATTCTAGATTTTTGAGAATAGAGTGCTGTAGTAAATTTAGTTTCGGAGATATTGGCTTCCAAAAAAAGCGGTTTTTTGATTTTTAAAAATCAAATTTTTGAGATAAAAATTTTGAAAAATGTAAAAAATGTTCCTTTTATTACTAGAAATATGTGGAAAAAAGCAAAAATGAAATTTGTTGATTTTTCAGCTTGCTAGCTCAATTTGTTTATAAAACTTCGATTGTTAATAACTAATGCACTATCAGTCTGACAGAGATTTACCCAAAAACAAAGTTGTATATTTTTTTAAGTTCTACAAATTTTATGCCAAAACTTAATCCGCCAGATCAATAGTTTCAGAGATATTTAATTTTTAATTTACGTTTTTTTTTTGTTTATCTGTTATTTATAAACAAATTGAGACCGCCGTTAGATACTTGTTAAAATTCTATATTAACCCACTTGGTATCGAAATTTCAAGAAATAATTTTTTGATCAATTTCCAGTTGGTACAGCCGATTTGGCTAATTTCTGTGGGCTACAGATTTAAAATCAATTTTAATTTGCAAAGTTGCCTAATCGCTGAAAGTCTAATTACATGAATTATAATATTATAAATAACAATTATTAGTGATTAGACTGTATGTTTTTATTTAACAAATTAATAAAACTATACAGTTTCAATAATAAAAAAATATGAAACGGCATATTTATACATTTTTTTTATTTTTTAATAAAAATCCTAAACATGACAAGATTAGTGAGAATTAACATGTTTTTGTAGTTCGACTAAAGTCAAAAAAGGTTGATCGCATAGCATACAAACACACGAAGCATTGTTATGAACATTGAGATGATCGAGCAATTCTTGTTCATTGTTAAAATTAAGGTCGCAAATGGTACACATTCTACTTTCATTTTGCATTTGAAAATCATCTTGTAAGCTTTCAATGATTTTGTCTTTTGTATCATGTGTTTGTATATTTAATGCTAATTCAACATTGGTATCAAATTTATTGTTAGAGTGAAGATATGAACGTTTGACGTCAGATTGAATTCCTGGAGACTCTTTTATACTATTAGCTTGGATAATATTTACGAGATTTGAATTATTATCGGCATCATCTAATAAATGTTGTTCGACATGAGCTTCAAGCTTATCTTCAGTACTTAATGTATGTCCACAAATGGCACATTGAAACATTTTCATACTTGTACTCATGTTACCATGTTCTTTGTTGGCATCATCACAATAGTTCTGTAAATGTTTTTTTAATATTTCATCATCTGTGAATTTTTTATTGCAAATGAAACATGAGTAAAGTTTTTCAAGATCAGTAGTAAAAACTTTGGAAATTTTTTGATCTTTTTCATGAATTTTTTTGTGATTTAGTAACAAACTATCAGTACAGAATATTATATCGCATTTATTACACTTATGGTGATATTTAGATAGTAATGATTTACAAATGTGTGTTTCAACTAAATCAGCTTCTACACTTTCATCACATTCTTTACAACGCATTATTTTTTTTACAATTTTTTCCGATAGCACTTGTTCTTTATGAATACTAAAATTCCTATGAACGTCTAATTGACGATCAAATGACCCACTGTGCGCTCTACAAACATGTCTTTTGTCATTTAAACCATCGTTATTTACATCAATTGATTCTTTTTTTTCTTTAAGTTTCTTTAATATTTTAATATCATTTCCATTGCAATAATTATTTCTTTCATCAACATTATGTACTTGATTTTTATAACAATTTAAATTTGTTAAATGTTTAGGTAATTTGTGAGAATTTCTATCGTTTTCAATATTAATTAAATTCAAATCGAGACGATCTAAGAAAACCCTTGGCTGAAAAACTTTTGATTTCATAGCAGCTTTAATAAATGCAGTAGAAAATGTTTTCTTATGATGAAATTTATTAATGGTTTTACATTGCATAACCTGGTACTTATTCAAATTCTTTTTAACGGATTTTTCAACGATAACTTTCAATTGCTGCTCTAACGTTTGAAATGGTTCACGACATTTAATATTCTCACTATCCATATCTTCAGAACAATCTTTTTCATTGATTAATTTTTTTTTTAAATCTTTATCAATAAATGACGCTAATTTAAATTGAAGATTTTGTAATTTTTCAAATTCAGTTCCTTCAATTTCTATATTTAAACAGCGCTCAACAAATTTTCCGTCTTCCATCAAATATTTATTAGATGATTCAATACGGCACAGTTGAAGCGCATTCATAATATCTATATTTTGTTGTTTATGAGTTACAATATTATTACCTTCATGATTTGACGGTAATTTTAGAACATTTGATAATTGATTAACATTTGATAATTCAGATAAAAATAAGCTTGATGTTATAATAAACATGGCATCACCCATTACTAATTCTGACTGCATAGATTGCGGTTCAAATTGATGATTTTCATTTGTTGAAAAATTAAACGACTTTCGATGTTTTTTCAACGAAGATAATTTCAATGTTGCATCCGAGTTAATGGAATCTGTATCAGAATCATTTTCACCAGTTGCTGCTAATAATGCACGCTTTCGAGCTACCCAACGTTGCGTAGATGCCATTCGTTGCTCATTAGTACGTCTAATACCGGAATACCGAGTTTTTATTAGAAGTTCTGTGGTTTGTTTACCTTCAGATGAATTTTCCGTTTCATTTTTTGATGTTTTTAATGAAAATTGTGATTGAAGCATGTTTAAGTTAGTTTTATTACTTGCCACTTCAGAATTTAATGCTTTTAACGGTTGAGAATTGATTTGTGACGATTCATTAGCTAATTGCATGAGATCATTATCATTTGTTAAATTGTTTATGTTGTTTACCGAATTTTTCTAAAAAATTTTGCCAAAAGATCTTTTTTTAGTATTTAATATTTTTAATTTGGAATCAGAAAAAAAATAATACGTACCTCAAGGATGGATAATTCATGACTATCGGACAAGTTTAACAAAAATTGATTTGAATTTATTAACTGCTGCTTAAAGTCATCCCACATATCTAATTTATATAAGCAAATGTGACAAATGTTTTTTGGTAAATCATTGTCATTATCAATCTGAAATGTAAATAATGAAGCTAATAAGAAGAAAACAATAATAAATGGATTATTATTCATTAAATGTCAAACTTACGACAGTGGATATCGATGCCGCAAATTCTTTAATTTTAATAAATATTTCAGGTCTAAACATATCAATCATACTGTTACTATTACTTAAACAAATACGACACTTATCGATCATACAATTTTTTATACAGTTTTCTGACATCTTCAGGCCGGTATTCTTTTTTTTTTTGAATGTATTATACTTATTTGATTAGAGTATAAATCATTAATAAATACGGTGATACTAATTTAATGCTACAGAAACCTGAACAGTTATTAAATCAATAAAAATTATACTGAAATCAACAGACATCTTAACATTTTTTAGATTTTTGTAAGAATTAAATTATTATGAAGAAAATTTAGTTGAGAAAAATTCCACACGTAGAAATTAAAAAATAGTTAATGAAATGAGACGAAAAAATTTTTTCGATCGTAAAGCACTCTCTAATGCACACTAGTCGTGCAAAAGAAATCATAAGTGCAAGTTTTCAAAAATATTTTTTTTACCATAATTGACTTTTGTTATAAAAATTGTCAGATGTTTGCTGAAATCAGTATTATTCAATAAAATCTGCTCTTTAATTTACATTTAAGGCCAGTTTTTCAACCCGGGGTTTTTATTTATCCAGAGTTTGTAACGATAGCAACATATTAAATAAATATTAGAATAGTACTGTTGCTATGGTTATATATATATATATATATATATATATATATATACTCGTTAATTTTTTATTTTTACTTGTGAGTTTGGCATTAGTCGCGATTATCATATTTTCGTAGGGGATCTGGTGCCATAAATTTGATCTCGTTATCTCATTTACGGGCATGACGATAGCGTCATCTTTTTCTCCGGGTAAAATGAAAACTCCAGGTTGAAAAACTAGCCCTTAATGTATTAATATCATAAACAGCAGGAAAGACGAAGGGTAGAGGAAACAAAACATTGATGAAGGGAAAGGTTTATAGGTTAATTAATAAACAAACTAATGAAACGAGTGATAATTGATGATTTACATTGTTACACACACGATTTAGCTTTTTAAGTTACATTTTTATCAATTCGTCACTATACGCTGTTTTATTTATCAAATAAGTTCTTGTAACATGTAAATAAATAAATATAATTTTAGTCCGCAACAAAAAATAAATACGCAAGTAATCAACGAATCAACATTTGTATATATGTGGCTGCTTATAGAAACTATGTATGGTAGAAATTTGAAAATTTTATATAAACCCCGCCCGCGCATGATGTGTGGGTCATTAAAATAGTGGATATTCTGTAAAAGAATGATGGTTAATTACATAAGTAAATGATGAAAATTATATATTAGCCAAAATCTGAAAATTTTTAGAATTTTTTTATTGAAAAAAATTATTAAAAAAAATTGACATGTAAAAAAATTGGAAAAATTCCAAGTGTAATTTTTCAAAAATATTATTTATTCATAATTTTTGTTGATTTAAAAACTCAAATATTGTCAAATGTCTGCTAATTTTAGTATCATGATTAAATAATCTTAATTTAGAAAATTAAGGTCCCGTAATAGTACTAATTAAATTTTATTTTTCTAATAAATTATATAAAAACGAAGACAGGCTGACTATCGAAAATTTTTACATTATTATTTATTCTTTGGGATCAAAAGTTTACACTAAAATATCTAAAATATACATATGGGTTTCAAATTTTAAGAAATGAGTGATAGTTCCGGAACCATTCAATCAATTTCTACTTTTCGAGAGAATTAAGCTATAATATTCATTTTTCGTATTAGTGTAAATAAAAAAAATGAATATACTACAAAATATATTTTCTACTACCACTAGTTTACAATGAAAGAACAACTGAAAGAAGGAATATTTTAAATTAGCGCTTTATTGACAGCTAGTGTCATCTAGATGCGACTAAAACTATCACAACAATTTTTAACTTCCCGCTAAAAATCTCAGATTTTCAAAAATCGGGAAGTTATTGTTTTCACCCCCCGAGTAAAAAAGATTTTATATAATTAGATATAATTATGTATAAATTATATATAGTTATATAAAAAAAATGGCCCGATAAAATTGGATAGAAATGGTATATAATTGTATAAAATTATATATAATTGTATAAAATTATATATAATTGTATAAAATTATATATAATTAGGGGAGGGGGGGGGCAAAATGGGGTACTTAAGCAATCGTTATGATTTTAAGGACTTAAATACGCTGATTTTTCTCGTTTTCAGTCGTAATTAAAGGAAAATAATCAAATTTCAAGTTGCCGTAGAAAAAAAAAATTTTTTTTTTGCGGGCAAAATGGGGTACTCCCTGAAAGAGTGAAAAAAAAATTTCTTCAGCCGAAAATGAAATATCGTTAAAAAAATAACATTTTCTTATCGATAAGTCTACACGGGAAGAAAATTGAAGGAGTTATTACTATTTTACTATTGTAATTTTTACTAAATAAAATAGTAACGGTGGACTATACTTCTCATTTAGTAATTTTTACGATCTACTATTGTAAATTTTATCCAACAAATAAGACTAGCAAGAGTTTTAAAAAGTCGAATACTATAGAGCAAATTATACAATATGTGTTTGTGAACTTTACAATTCAA